TCCACTGCAGTCACTCAATCAGTCTGGATTACACATTGATTCAAAATCTATAGACCTGAACTCAGAACAGGCAACATTTGCTCTCACAGAACTACATTTTGCCTGCTCCAGGAGTGTTTGTGCAACTATAGTATTAACATCAGTGCAGTAATGCACTGTAGCACACCAGACAAATCTGAAGGGGGCCTCAAAGATGTTGTAGCTTAGCTACAATGAGCTAATGATTATTTCTAATTCCTGAACTTCAGATTACTTCTGGATTTGCTTAAAGCATCTGTTTTTAATGGTCTCAGACATAAAGAGGGGAATTTATCAAAACTGGAGCAGACTAAAACTGGAGCAGACTAAAATTGGAGCAGCTGTGCATGGCAACCAATCAGCTTCTCTTTTTCATTTTCAAACCTGAACTGAGCAAACAGTAGAGAGAAGTTGATTGGTTGCCATGCACAGCTGCTCCAGATTTAATACATTCCCCCCTAAGTGTATTACATTTGACTGTTGATCATCGTTTTCGAGTCATTACCCTTGTAAGGTTCTTATCAGCAAATCATCCTTGTTGACAAGGAATAACTTGAACCTCAGACTTCTCACCAGGCTTTATTACTGTGAGTGGAATCTGCAAGAGAAGTAGAAAAATGAAGTGACACAGGTCCATAGTCATTCAAAAAAAAAGTCTACGGCCCACCAACACTTGAGGGAAAAATGTAATGAGCTGCCATTTCAGCAATGATAGCCTCCAAGTTTCTCCTATGAGAGGTTTCCTTTAAAATGTATTTTAACTTTTGCAGCCAATTTGGGATAACATCTATTTAATATTTGATACATGTTTCCCTTTGCATAGCATAACTTAGAAAAACAACAACATTTTAAATGTTCTTCTCTGAAATCTCCAAATCTAAAGTTTTTTCATTCTCTTTAATTTTAGGGATGGGGAGTTATGTTTACTGTAATTAACCCTGTCTGTACTGTGCTGGGAGATCTTACTATCACCTGTAAACTAGATTTGAACAATGTCTGTCCTAACAAAGGACTAAACCCATTGGGTCACATGGGGGGCTCTTAGAAAGCTGTGATTCTCTGGCTGGTGTCCTGCCCAGCTTCTGGCAACCAGTGATGTCTGGCACTGTCTGGCCAGGATGCTGGACAGAGGTGCTGTGCACCCCTCTCCGGTAACATGCACCACCAACACAACACCAAAAATAATTGACAGCTTGTAATACCTCTGTCCGGCATCCCGCCGAGCTCACTGACGTCACCGGTTGCCAAGAGCTGAGTGGGACGCCAGCCAGAGCATCATAGCTGGCTAAGAGCCCCCCTTGGCAACCAGTGATGTCAGTGGTGGGAGACTGATTAGAGGTACCAAGAACCCTCACCAAATTAACATGTGATGTGCCCCACACACACCCACACCCCACA